AAAAAAAAAAAAAAAAAGACTAACATGAAAAGGTTATTCCATCTTTTATTTCTTGAAAATAATCTTGTGCTTGAATAATTAATAAAGCACCGACTGTGGTCATTGCATTGTGAAACGAAGCTGAAGTCCAGTACCTTTGCCTGTGCTATTTCTCCCCCTGAGGCTCCTCAGGGGCTCTCCCCATTACTGCTGGTGAGTGTCACACCGCCAGAATTATTCATGGCTGCCCATTTTAATGGTGCCAAGAACAACTTGCCGGTTTCTGCAGTTTTAAAATTACTGAAGTGGAAGAGAATGATGAGGTTACGTGAATGTTCTAATCTCTCCCCTGGAGGCATGACCCCACTGCCATGAGCCTTCCCTCAGCAAATTCTTGTATTCCTAAACAACACTGAAGCCCAAATACTAAAGTTGCAATGGTGAAGAACCTGATGGCCTCAGAATCAAGACTCCCCTGCTCCTCAACTGGATTAAGAAGGAACTGGACCCAATCTTCTGAGATCCAGAGAATTCAGAAACTAAATTTATGGGCACTGATGGCCATGTTACTGTGATTGGCACATGCCAAGTGCACGGCTTTGAGAAATGGTGTCAAACACACCCTCTTTTGAGTTTTGGTTTTTGTTTTTATTAGTGCATGTTTGTGGTACCTAGTTATCCTAGTTACTTTTCTCTTTGTTGAGGAAAAATAATTGACACCCAAAGTTAAAGGAGGAAGAGTTTATTTGGATTACAATTCCTAGAGGCTTCAGTCCTTAGTTGGCCGGCTCCAAGGCAGGGTGGCACACGGCAGATGGACATCTCAGAGGAGATGCAGTCTGTGGCATCCAGAAGGCAAAAGGCAACAAGGCAACAAGGAACAACCGCAGCTCTTTCTATCCCTTTTGTCTTATTCAGGTTACTCAGGGCAGGTAGCACTCACACCCTTAATCCTAGAGCCTCAATCCCACTCTCACACACTAGATACAGCCACTTTTGAAAAAGCTCAACCTGGCCACATGAGATTTTCTGGGGACATTTAGAAACAAGCCATAAGAAAAATGAGTATATTCATTGTGGGGCTGGCTGCAAGTACATAACACATCTCAATTATTTGTTTACCTTTCCCTTTCTGCTCATTTTAAACTTCTTTTGCAAGCATCACATTCACTTATTTTATGAGTCCTTATCTAGTTAATTGTCATAAATACAGATTGTATCCATCAGGGTTTTATTAGAGGAACAGATATAACACAAAATGTACAAATGTATAAGATTGAGTCGGGTGAGCTCAGAGGGCTTCCGCACACTGGAGCCTGAAGGATTCAGTCCAAGCTCTGGAGCTCACTGCAGTGTTCTGTGTAAGTCCATATCAGAAGGCTGAGTGGTCTGTTACAGGAGGCTGTGAGTCTGCAACAGAAGGATGAAGGATCCAAGGCAGAAGCCAGGAAACAAGGTCCAAGCTGTCTTCGAAGACAGGTGCTCCTCAGAGGAAATGGAACACTCCAGCCCTCCTCAATTTCCTTTTATATCCTTTAAGTGATGAGTCACTCTAGGGCGGGGTCTTCACACCCAAGGGAATAGAATTGCTGAGCTGATTTAGCTAAGCTTTTAACTTCCCAAATTGACACAGTTGATCAACTACTACACAGATTAACAGCCAGACCAACAGGCACAAAAGTATTTTTAAAAACAAGTAAGACAATTTTATTAAATTAATGTGCTCTTTTAGAGACATTGTCCATGTTGGATTACAATAACATTTTCTCTTTTTTCCCAATTGCCTATCTTTTATCTTGTACATTATTTATCTGTGAGGCTTCTCACATTAAACAAATCATATCATGTTCAAATATTTGTGTCTTATTTACTTCATTTAACAGTACATATTCAAGGTGCATCCATTTTCCTGTGAATGACTCAAGTTTATCCTTCTTTATGGCATGATAGTACTCCATTTCATATCAATATCATAGTTGCTTTATCCATTCATTTGTTGAGGGATAAGGCTGCTTCCAAGACTTAGCTGTTACGAATTCCCCTGTTAGAAACACTAGCATGTATAAATCACAGTAATCAGACATCTTTAACTACTTCAGGAAGATATCTAGAAAGGGAACAGCTGAATCAAATGGAATTTCTAGTTTTAGTTTTTTGAGGAACTTCTATACTGACTTCCATAGTGGTTGTATCAGTTTATGCTCTCATCAACAAGGAAAAGAGGTTCCTTTTTTTTCCCCACAGACTAACCAAAATTTGTTATTGGTTGATTTCTTGGTGGTAGCCATTCTTTCTGGAGTGACCTGGAATCTCAGTGTTGTTTCAATTTGCATTTCTTGATTGGCCAGCAAAGTTGAACATTTTTTCATGTGTCTATTGGCTCTTTGCACTATTTCATTTGAGAAGGGTCTGTTCCTTTCAGACACTCATTTTTTGATTGGGCCTTTAAATTTAGGAGGAATATTTTATGGTCATTGTTCTTTGTTCATTTTAGATATAGTACTTTGAGGATTAACTGGAAAAAAGAAATGTCCCCATCTTTTCACTCTATTAGCAGTTCTCTTTGCTGTGCAGAAGGCTTGTAATTTCATGTGATCCTGTTTGCTGATTCTCAGTATTATTTCTTATGTGGTTCAGATTATGTTCAGAAAGTCTTGCCTATGCCTACGTATTCAAGAGTTTTACCTATTTCATTTTTTAGCCAGTTAAGGGCTTTTGTTTCAATATTTAGATCTTCGATCCATTTTGATTTTAGTTTAGCGCATGGTGAGAGACATGGATATAGGCTCAAACTTCAGCCAGTTTTCCTAGCACCATTTGTTCAAAAGGCTATCTTTTCCTCCACTGAAAGTATTTGGCCCCTTTGTAAAAGATCAGGTAGATGAATATACCTGAATTTGTTTCTATTCCATTGACCCATGAGTCTGTTTTAGCCAGTACCATGCTGTTTATATCACTGTAGCTTTGTAGTATATCTTGAAGTCCAGGATTGTGATGTTCCTTGTTTTGCCCTTGTTTTTGCTATTCTGGATCTTCTCTGGTTTAATATGAATTTTGTGATTGCTTTCTCTATAATTTTGAGAGAAATACTATTGGTATTCTGGTTGGGATTTCATCAAATCTATACAATGGTTGTGGAAATATAGCAATTTTGACTATATTGGTTCTGCTAGCCAGGAATGAAAGATATTTTTCTATTTTCTGCTGGCCTCTTCAATTTCATTCTTCAGAGTACTTCTACTGGGATGGGGAGATGGCTCAGTGGAATAAGTGCTTCCCTGGCAAGCGCAAGGGCCTGAGTTCAATCCCCAGTTCCACAAAACAAAACAGAGTACTCCTACCCTTGTAAATCAAAATTCTATTACTATGAAAGGCAAACATTAATTTATACAGTGGGATAAACAGTGCAAAAGCTTGAGGGATGAGTTTATTTGTTAACAAAATCTCTAACCAAATCCCAGCATATAATAGTGGTCAAAGTCGAACAGGGCAAGCACAATCAGGAGCATTGCTTTTTTATTTTCTTCCTGCCTGTTTACAGATTTATAACAATGAAGGCACTACATTCTCTGAATTCGGCAACTAGGATAACAGCTGAGAACCAAAATGCTACATAGTTCTCATATACTTATGTTTTCAATTCATTATTTGAGTTGATTTTTGCACAGGTTGAGAGCCAGGAATCAAGCTTCAATCTCCTGTAGACAGATACATTCTGGCATCACTTATTAAAGATGCTATCTTTCCTACAGCATATTTTTGGTGCCTTTGTTGAGAATCAGAGAATAACCTGCTCTGGAGTAAAGGTTTGCGGAGAGCAGCTATTCAGCAAAACCAGCCCAGAGACTGGCCATGTTATTGTCCATATATATGAAAGAATACAGAGAAAGAGAGGTGAAGGTCCTTTGTTCTGGGAAGTGTAGCTTTTATGAGGAGACACTATGCCTTTCACAAGGGAGATAGGAGAATCAAGATTCATCTTGATTAATCTCCCAACCTATTCCACACTCCACTCAAGATTAATCTGATTGGATTTGTAAACCTTTATACTTTTGCCTACATTTCTGTCCTGTTCTACATCCCCAAGCCTGCATCCTTTTTTCTTTCCCACTACCTAAAGAAAAAAAATTGTAACAGTTTTACTGTTCTTTTTATGGCACATAATGCGCTCATGCTAAGGAAAAAGTTTTCAGTCGGAAATGTCTTTAGTTTGTCTTCACTATTGCAGAACGCATTTTTAGATGTTTGAGTTGGCAGTTACTTTCTTTCAGACTTTGTAGAATATGCTCTTGTTTTCAATGAAATGGTAAAATTTTCCTTCCCTCTGAAGAGCTTTATCCCTCACTGTTGGGCTATACTGCTTTCTTATCTAGATCACAAGATCCTAGGAAGATATTATGGCTTTAAATCATTCATGTTTTATAACAATATGAAGGCATTAAAATATATAATAGAAAAAATGAGACCTCAAGTATGTCTTGCGTTATAATACTGACTACAATCTCCAGATTTGTTTTTTGGCCATTGTGGATAGTGCTGCCATGCATATTGGTATGCAGATATCTCTTGTGGTATGCAGATTTAATCTCCTAGGGTATTTACTAAAATATGCTGTAGCTGAATCATATAGTAGCACCATGTGGAGTTTTCTGTAAAAAGCCCCATTCCAATTTTCATAGTGGAAGTTCACATCAATGGTGTAGAAGTGTGCCTTTTTTCTAGCATCTTGCGAACATTTTTTTCCCTGTATTTTTGATCATAGCTGTTCTGAGCAAGGTAAGACATAATCTCAGTGTAGTGTTGATTTGCATTTCCCAGATGGCTGAAGATACTGATTTTTTTCATATACTTATTGGTCATTTGAATTTCCTCTTTTGAAAAGTGTCTGTTCAATTCATTCACCTAGTTATGACTGAACGACTTTTTAGCATTAATTTTTTTAGTTTTTAGATATCCTAGATGTTAGTCTTCTCTGAGAAAGATGGTTAAAGATTTTCTTAAATTTTGAACGCTGTCTCTTCAGTCTGTTCTTTGCTGAGCAAAAGCTTTGTGATTTCATTAATTAATTAATTAATCAGAAAACCTTATAAGACCCAATCCCATTGTCTTGCTTTTACTCAAACACAAGCTGGTTCTCACAAGTGTATTCAAAAGTGCTATTACCTCTGACTGGAATGCTCTATTTGAGCATAATTGCCTCTTCAACATCACTAAACCCTATGTTGAGATATCACCTCTTTATTCAATTATCCTGTCTAAAATAGTTCTCTTCCTATACCACTCTGTATTCTTCTATATGGCCTTACTTTAACAATTTCGATTACTCTCCAATTGGACATTTATAAATGTGCTTGTGTTTGTCTGGTTGCCTGGTT